ACTGAAGATTCACTGGATTCAACTGATATTGTCATAGCACCCACCAGGCATAAAATTCAAAGATATTGTGACAATAAAAGATGATACAGCACCTAATAGCCTTTTAGACAGTGTGCTGCAAACCCAACCAAAAAGTATTTCAGTAGAAGGAGAAGAGCCATCTAGCTGGTGTAGGGTATCTGCATTGTCAGAGATTTCTTAGCATGTAAGTTTGAACACTTTTCAGATTGTGTGCTACATGGTCCTGGGAGAGTCTCTGGATGAATGAAAAACTCAATAATGGTTACCATTCACATTTAAAGTCAGGACTTTGGCACAAGGGAAATTTCCCTCTTGATGTTCTGAAGGACCATCTTTGCTGAACATAGTATATCCCAAGAATTGACTTTGGCCCAAATTTAAGACTGCCTTGAGTCTTATATATAAAACATATATATGTTATAAAAACATATGAACCTTTATAGCAACAATCTAACAATTGATTTTTAAAATAAAAAAGTATGCACAGATGCTGTATAATAGTTATATTGGGCAACTAATGGAAATAATTAACTTTTTTCTCTCTTTTTGTTTCACAGATTCACAATCATGGAACACAGAGTTTTCAGTGAGATCTGATTTTTCTTTCTGTGGTCCTGGATCAAGCCCAGGCCCTTGAACATGCTAGGCAATTCATCTACTCCCCAGCTACATCCCTAGCAAGAGATCTGATTTTTATATGACTTTGGATGGCTCAAATAGTTTAAGTTGACTAAACATTCTAATGTTTAGTCTAATTTTTTAGTAATAGAATGAGGCAAGGAGGCAGTCATTAAATCAGTGTAAGCTTGTTTTTTATCCAGCAGATCAATAGCCTCTTTCTACACATATCTGTGCTATATCCACCTTGCTCTCTATTTTCATAAATTATCAGAACAGCAAACTCTGGTAAGATATAAAACCTTATATTGGCCTTACCCAAGCTTACCTATCTGTTTTCTAGTTTTTACCCCTCTAAATAGAGTTCTACTATTACAAGTCTCTTTAGTTCTAGACCATGGTCATATAAATGTTTTCCCATGACTTGTGAATTCATTCAAAAAATATTTTTTGAGTACCTTCTATGTACCAGATACTTCCACAGATCCAGTTATAAAGAAATGAATAAAAACAACACAATCCATGCCTTTACAGAGCATACATTGTAATGGGTGAGTCATACAATATAAAATATGAATGAAATACACATCATGCTGAATAAGCCTAAGGATTAAGTATTGCTTTGTAGAGGAGAAATGGGGAATGATGGGAAAGCATGGGCAGTCTTAGAAAGAACATTGTCAGCCAGAAGGTGGTCTCTTGAGTAAACACATGAAGGAATCTCAGACATGAAGGAATCTCAGGACACAAGTACTTCAAAAGTCTGGGTGACAACCTTTTCAAGACTACTGAGTACACAGATCCTGCAGTGTGTAGGTGTAAGTATGTGCCAAGAATACAAAGGTGCCTCTTGGATGGTGAGAAATGTTAGGAGGAAAGTGGAATATGAAGATAGGCAGCTTGAGACCCCTAATCATTCATGAGGGCATTACAGGTCACTGTTAAGGACCATGGCATCTGTGCTGAGTGAGATGGAAAACCAGCTGTTGGATGTTTCCAGGAAGAGGAGGGACATGCTCCAATTCACGGTGTCATCCTAGTTATCTTGATGAGATATACTAAAGGAGTGTAAGTACCAAAGCACAAGACCCAGCTAACAGTGATATAGATGAGAAATGATGACAGGTATGGTCTGGGTGGTAGTTGTGAGAGAGGTGCAATGTGGCTGGGGCAGAAACACCAGCTCTATTTGGCCACATTATCTGAGATGTCCTTTCACAAAGCAGGTATACTGAAGAGGCAACAGGATCTACTTGTTTGGAGTCCAGGGGAGAGTTGAGGAATAATACATATAATTTAGTCTTTCTACCAAATTCAACTTTCATTGGTAATTATATAGAAAGGAATAGAAGGGATGTGGACACAGTCAATTTATATTAGCAGACTTCCTACATTTCCATAGGCCATAATTGATTTTGGTATGGTATAGGCTTCCCAGAGTGTTCCTATATAATTCTATTTAAGTCTTTTTAATTTTAAGGATAACATTTTAAAATTTGTGAGCCAGCAGAAATTAGCCTAAAATTTGCATTTGATTTGCAACTGGACTACAAATTTGCAAAAACTATATACAAATCAATAAAACAGTGCTAAATCCATTTCAGAAACACTTCTTTATCCTCTTCAAATATGCTTATGTCTCATAGATTTTAACAGATATAACTATGTTCATCTAAATGGAACTTAACATATTCGAATAGGCCTAAAACCAGCCACTTTTAAAGTGTTAGTGACATTTTACTGTGTTATGTCTCAGCTTGCCTTCACTGCAAAGTATGCAACTTAGGTATGGAAAGGAAACACCATACCAAGAGAACTACATACAAATTTCACAAGATTTAGAATTGAACTAATTGCACACATTAAAAACTCTACAAAATGGAAGAGTGAAGACAAGAAAACCATTTGCAAAGGTATTTATTGAGAAATAGTAAAGATGTACATATTTTTACAAGCTTTTAATATTAATTTACATTTCTTTAAATTATGTAGGCCCCGATAATCTATACTTTACTAATACGTAACAGAACTCCTTGACTTTGACTGTGAGATCTCCATGATGCTACTATAGCTGGGAGTCAAATGCAACTTTGGCTCATGATGCTTAAGTCTGTATTGAAAAGAAATACCAAATGCCATATTCTCTGAGAATGTAGGTTTGTCATAAACAAATACACTTTATAAAAACAACTTCATAGTGGAGCATACTGTTGACACTATTTTGAATCTTAGCTCACTAGAGACTAAGGGAAGAAATCTGGAGGCACTGTTACCTATGTTTGTGCATAAGTTGTATGATGCTAAAATGTTCCTTCTGCCTCTGAATTTGATTTAACACATTTTTGCAGGGGTATGCATAGTGTCTTAGTCACATGCTGTAATATCATAGCCAGGCCACCTATTCCTTACTGAAATTACATGGTCTTGATATTTTTAAGATGCAACACAAGGTAGTTATCTTTCCTAATATGCCAAGTTTGTATGTGTACTAGCAGAAAACCCACTTAGGGTTTACAATAAGGCACAATTTTCTGCATGTAAATAGAACATAGGAACTGCCAAAGTTTTGACCAGGAAGGAAAAGGAGTTTTGGTTCCTAAGATGGGAAAGGAAGTGTTTTGTTTTGAGCATGCTCAAAGTCACATGATCAAGCCATGCTGCTGGCTTCTTGGTCTGTACCATTGTTGCACCAAACTATTCTTCATCAATCTTGCATTTAGGTTTTATGCTGGAAGCCTCTTCTGAACACATACTCAGAAAAAAGGATGAGTGTGAAAAACAGCACTGGGAGATGCCATCAACAACCTTCTCTTTGCTTCAAGAAAAGGTGTTTCTTTCTGCACCTGCAGGTTCAGCAGCATAAGAAGCCTTGCTTGGTTGATATAAAAAAGAATTAAACATTTTGATGTAATGCCACAGTTCTATCATTAAAGAAACTGGCTATACAGCAAAATAATGTCATTTTATTCACAGTAATAAATATTTAAGGTTTAGTGCACAAAATACATACTGATAATCAATGCAAATCTTTAATTTTTAAAACTATTTTCAAGCTAAAGGCCAACAGAAGTATTAAGTAAAATTTATTATTATTACTTATTATTATTAAAAGCATTCCAACCATAATTTGCCTGCTACAGTACTTGGGGGCAGAGGTAGCCAAAAGCTGCAACCTTTAAAAGAATAAGGTTTATGTAATGAAATCACAATCTTATGCAAAATTAGAATCTCAAATTATCTTCCTACCCATTGTAAACACGGCCTCAACATTCACTAAAGAAACACATGTTTATAGCCTGAAGAGTAAAATCTTATTTCCATAGTGAATGTTCATTGTGATCTATGCACAAAGCATTGGTCTTATTTAAGCCACAGAAGTCTTAGTTTATAAACTACCAGAACAGCCTCTGGTTGGGAGCACTGACTAACAGTTGGACTCCAGGATATATATTATGTCATTTAAAACACAGAACTGCAGGTGCAGACACCATTAGAATACTCTAGATCTCAAAGTCTTAAATTTCCACAGGGGAAATCATGTCATAGAAAACTACTGGAGAACCTGTATCATGTTCCCACCAAGTGGGGGAGAAACCATGCAAACCCAACAATGACAGGCTGTCCCTGCCATGAATGCAGTCCATTGTTCAGTAACAGTACCAGCAGAAACCAATGTACACAAGTCTGTAATGGGGAGACCTTGGACTGACGTGTTAAGACTGAGAACCAACACTATTTTACTGTTGTGATTTGGTAATGCTGCCAAGATCTGCCTCACTTGCTGATTTAATGTGTGATGATATTCTAGATAAAAATTGCATACTCACTTCTTTCCTTGGAAGCCGTCTGGTGCATCCACCTCCCATTAATGAGGACATTTCTTTTTTGCCATGGCATTAGGAAGAAATACACTTAGCTGTATTTTAAGCCATGTTCACTCAATGTGAATTTTAACTTATGTCCACAACTTCTATAAAAATAATTTGGGTGATCACTGCTAATGATTTGCATGATAATATCTAAGCAACTTGCACATATCGAAAAGTCATACTCAAAATGTGCAAGCTGTCATGAATATGGCTCTTAGTTTTCTTCAGAAAAACTGTAGAAAGAATGCTTGAGACTTCTACATATATTTTACTTTCTAAGTAAAGGTCCCACCAGTCTCTCTCAAAACTTCTGCGTATGGCTGGATGCACAGAGAGTTGCCTCATACAATTATTGGAATTATTAAGAACCCAAATAAAATACAAGCTTCCATTTCTTCTTATTGTTGTTGGTTTCTTATTGCAACAAATACAGTTTCTTGTTGATGCAGTATTAAACTCTGACAGCTTGAATTTTAAATTTGGTCATGTTTAGAATTATCACAAAGTTTTTTTTTTTTTCATCATTTACAGAGATTTTCACCAAAGTTACATTGTAACACACAAGCGCTGTCTTGTCTTTAAGGCACAACACATCAGTATGAACATTCTGTTTTGCCAAACTTAAAAAAGAGACAATATTATATTCCCATTTCCCTCCCTTCTCCCCTCCCCAACAAATGAAGAAAAATTGCATCCACTTTCAAAGTCAGCTGCTAATAAAGTCACAGTAAATTATTTCCATTAATAATTTACACAAATTACAGGTCTGTCCTTATACAGTCTGAGTGCATTCCAATTCAGATTTTCTGGGCTAGGAAGGGTAAAGTCAGGTTCAAACCTCAGGGCTGAGAAAAACTCCCATTTTGAGGAATGTTGTTGACCACCTTGTCAGATGGAGCACAGGTGCTGTGGCTTGGGAGGGTGAGAGTTCTTTGCTAAAGCTGTTCATTCCAGTTAGGACTCATTCACTGTGCATCACAACCTCCACAGATGTGTACTTTAAAAACCATCCAAGCGTCATAAGTATAAGACCATAGAGTTTCCTTTCTGTAGCACTAAAGTTTAATTTCATTCAGCAATCTGAATTCTTCCTTCTGGAATTTTCATTCCAAATATGATTTCATCCTTTAAGACAGTTTATATGTGTAGAGCCAGAGGCACTGAATCACACATAAAAATTCAGTGTACTTGAAATACAAAAAAAACTGGATCCCCAGCTAGATAACACAGTTACAAATACTCTAATTCCAGTGCTTGATGTAGAGCCAAGAGGTCTGAGTGACTTGATATCCTCCAAAAAGGCATATTGTGCTGTGGGGTTAAGAGAAGGAAGGATGGGAGAGGGAAAGGGTGGGAATGAAGAATGCAGAGAGGTCATAACCATCATCTCAATGAAGCAGCAGCACACACAAGGACACGTTTATCCACCAAGGTGCGAGGGGAAGTTTAATGGAGGAATGACCATTAGTTGAAGGTTGCTCAACACCAATGTGACATACTCAAAATAACAGAGGAATAGATCTGAACTGGATTTTAGTGATAATAAAGCAAATATTGAAATTTTTAAGCAGTTTTATTCCACAAATTAGCATTATCACTAGAAGACATGAAGGCCTATGTGACTGATGACGCAGACATACACCTAATTTAGGTGTATGTCTTGGTCAAAAATAAAATTAAACCATAAACTTCCCAAAGCCTTTTGTCTATTTCAGAGGAAAATACAGTGAATTTCTTTCTATGTAAAAAGCCATTTGAAGATGGACTATATAGAGTAGAAAAATTTGTGGATTTCTAACTTTCTTAATAACTAATAACATAAGCCAGTAGAGTTGATCTGATTTCTTTCATTGGCATGGGATTGAAACTGCAGGCATCCTGAAGTTTCAATCGAAGAGATACCATCCCTAAGGGGATAAAATTAGGGTCTTTTAGGGTAGAATATTGTGACATTTCAATTGTTTGTGGATCTCCAGAGATATATCAGTATCAGATAAATATGTGGCATTAAAATGTCATACAAAGGACTGATTAGAGGAAAAAAAGCTATCTATAAAGACCCATTGCGAATGGTAATAGTAAAAAAAAGAAACCGAACCATAGCAACTGTAGCAGTATTTGTCAGTTTGGGAAAAGAACATCTAGAATTTATATGTATGGAGTATAGTCATGTATATAATGGAAATATATATATATATATATATATAACATGAAAAAGATATTTTATTAAAAAAAATTAATAATCACTATTTCTGTATAATTCCTTGCTGCTCAGTATGGTAGCCACTGGTCACATGTGGCTATGAGCACTTGAATTTTTTTTAGTCCAATTTAAACACATACTGAATTTGAAAAGCTTAGGACAACAATAAAAGAACACGATTTCACATCAGTAATTTTTGTACTGATTAAGTACAAAATATTAAGACATAATATTTTGGATAAATTGGACCAGTTAAAATATTGTTAAATTAAGTATTTTATTTTTACTTTTAAACATGGCTTCTAGAAAGATTTTTAAAATTGCATTACATCTCACATTATGTATTTCTGTAGGAGAGTGAAGTTACACATTCCTATTTCTAAACTTTGATATTTTTTCTTAAAATTTCTAAAACACTGTAGGTTTTAGGTCAAATCAGAGCATAGAAATTCACCTAGTGGTAGCATTTTTAAAGTTCAGCTCAGATCTATTTGTAATAAAAGAACAATACTGGTATTTCTGCACATGCAATTATTGCTATGTCCAAAGAAAAGCATGCATTCTGCATACTAGTGAAACCAATCACCTGTGCTTCCAAATAGAATTTTAAACCTTCACCGCCACCAAAACTGTACCTACATAAACAACCATTTGAAAATAACAATCTCTCAGATTTTTATCCATTTGGAGTCATGCCTTTTTTTTTTCCTGAAGCATTAGGTGTAAAACTGAAGGTGTAACAAAAGTCAAGATTTCATGCCATGGATTATTGGAGTAGACTTGGTAAGTTTTAATTTTCAAAGGCAGATGCCATTATTGTTTTGGAAAAATGTTATTAGTTCTGACATAGATATACATGACTTTTGCATAGGCTAAATGTTTGTTGGAGGACTGCATCCTTGACTGCCATTTGTTGTGTGTAATTATAGCTCCTAAATGAAAATCAAAATAATGAGGACTCAGGACACTGACAAACTCCAGAAGATAGTTCCCTGGTGTGTAACTGACTGGAAGCATTTCAAGTAATGGTCAGAAATGCAGGTTGGGTTTCTTGAGGCTGCAGCTCTGACCTCATACAGAATGTCCTTGGGGCCAGTGTGCCATCTTCAGTGACTAGCACTGCTAATCCTCACCAAGGGTGCTTTGTGTTACCAGCTCTCCTAGTGGGATGGAAAAGCACAGGGAATTTCAAGTATGGCTGCCAACACTGTCACTAAATCTTCTAAGGTACAATCACGTTCTCTTTCTCCATTTTGCTTGGTTTGAATCGATTAGAAGCACAAATCATTTCTTTTCTCCTTCTAGTATAGTCATAAACTCTTCTATGAAACCGTTATTTTTTAGAACACAGAAATTAGGTTAAATACTCAGGTACATGCAAGTGTTTAGTGACTACTTTTTTGGATGGTGATTTAACTTGCTCGGGATAGTATGGATAAGTTTCTTTCGATGTAAAACAATGTTAGCTGATATGCCATTATTGGAAAAAGCTAAATCACCATTTTATTTGTCTTATAAATTCTATCACTTTTATTTTGGATAGATGATATTTTGCTATCATTCAGTGAACCAAGTAGAAGAGTTCACTGTTGCATTGACTAGTGCTTTGGTGTTGAGGTTCAATCCTAGCATCATTTGTCTAGTGATGTTGAATCAATCATTCAATGCTTTTTAATTGCCTTGGTTTCTCCTTTAGAAAATATGGGTTAGAGAAAAAGCTCATTTCAATGCCTAGGGTCTATGAGATCTTCTGAATATGTTCAAAGTATTGAGGCTGTTTGGCCTCAATAAAGTACCAATGATTCACCAAAACAGATGAGAATTTTCTGAAAGGAATGAAGCACATTGCCTCTAAATCTCTGAAGTGAATAATACATCTTATTCCAGTAGGGCTTATCAAGTCTACCTTCAGCATTTATCACCAAGGAGCATACCTACTGCTAAGCATGTACAAGGACCATGTGGTATGTGGGAGTCTGTGCCACTCAGATGATTTTTCTATCAGCTCACTAAACTTTATCATGGTACATTTCACGGGCTTAACAACAGTTTTTCCCCACACTTCTTCCACATGAGTAGGCCATCTATACCTGTGTGCATTGTGTATATATATATATATATATATGTACATGTCTTATATATATTGTGCATATACATACAGAAATAAATATTCATCATATACTTACTTCCTACACAAATAAATATAAATAAATTTCCATGCATTTCCTATAAATTCCAGGCAAAAAAATGCTAGACTCCAAATGGTTTATTTGAATAGAAGGCTCTCTCATGCTCTTATATGCTCTTATCATTGGTCAAGCTGCCCTTGGGCCAAACTACAGGAATGCAAACAAAAAGGCTTGCATTAGAAGAATCACACCAACATTGTTTGAGACAGGTTACCTTTTTTGCTGCCTGTTCTTCTTCTACACCATCCCCAATTACAACATATACTACTTTTCTGCCAAACCTTTGCATTATTCGTTCAAAGCAACTTTCTTTTCCTGGAAGATAAATGAGATAAAGTTCAGAGTGAAGTTACCTGGTTAGCAGCATGCTCCTCATCTCGGCCATCTCCAATCACAACATAAGTTACGTTAGTGCCAAATCTGGATACTATACGCTCAAAACAGCTTTCCTTGCCTGAAAAACAATGCACTGCTTATTCTTCCAGCCACAGTATTCATTAACCCACAGAGCCATAAAGCGTGACGTTAATGTGTCTTGGACATTACTTGAACTAGCTTTCAACTTTGGAGTTTGTGAAATCAACACACATACCCTTGGATAGCATCACTGTTGGCATACTAGTAAACAAATGTGTTTCATACTCCAAACGAGTCAGAAGTGTTAAGCATTTGACCTAGAAAAATGTTAAATATGTTTTTTACTCCACCAAAGAGGATTGGAACAACTTTACAGGCAAATGTAATTTCAACATTTGTTTATTTAATCCTATAAATCAATGTTATCTAATTTATTTTAAGTAGTATAGACAAGTCAGTTGAACATATTATTGTGGAGAATTAAAGTTTTTATCTTTAAGGAAAGAGGAAATACTAAGATACGGATTTACCTTTATAAATAATTTCTTTGTTCAGTGCATAGGAGCTAATCTGCTGAGGCTAATTGTTCTCGGGTGCTGTCTGACTGAGCTACAGCACCCATGTTTCTAGTACTTTTTGACTGGAATTTAATAATACCATTACAGAGTTCCCACTTGTACTTCCTTTTTTGTAACACTGGCATTATTCTCTGAATTTCATGCCCAGAATGTTTGTGTACTGGCTACTTTTGCCTTTTTTCTTAATGTGATAGTTTAGAACTCTAAAATCTTGTTTAAAGACAGGAAACAATTTGGCCAAAAAATATTGTTCTTAACCTAAAGAAATGTTTATTGTGGTATAAAATTATTTGAATTGTCAAAAAGCAAAATCACATTCCATGTTTTAATTTTGGCAACATACATATCTACATTTATATGAAAAATGTATGGGATTGGTACCTGGGACCGAATTATAGTGCTGTGACAATGTGGCATTTACTTCATGAAAGTGTGGCTCTCTTTAACTGTCCTCCAGAAGCAGCTGCCAAGACGGGGGCGGGGGGTGGTTGCTCTTTTGCCAGAGCCTACATCAGTTGTCCACAAGGTCCAGGGCCGGCTATTTTTGGTGGGGGATTTTAGGATTTTGAACTTCTCTTGTCAAGCTGCCAACGCCTAAGTTTGTGACTTTCAGGGCACATTACACAACACATTTATTTTCCCAGGCATTTCCTTGACAGTGGAATACACGTGTAGTTTTCTTTTAACTTTTTGAAGATGGCAGAAATTGATGGAGTTTTGTCTTGGAAAATCTATTAGAAGTCTGAGTTTGCTAAATACCCTCGAAATCAAAGATCTCCCTACAAATAGATATTACCTAAATAAACAAGGTTGTAGGTCTTTTAATTCCCACTGCACATTTTTGGAAATTAGGCTTTATGAGTATTTCAATTATGTTTTCTGTTTCATGAAAAATCTTTGTTTCTGGAATTTTTTCATGGTTACTGGCTGAATCCAAATGAAACTCCCCTGTGATGCCAGAACAGTATGTTTATCTTACTACTGCATATAGTGGGATGTAATACTTCATCTAACAGCGATTAAATTTTTACTGTGGTTGAAGAGATTTCACATTATTTAGATAACTTATGCCAGAATACTTTATGAAATGTGTGGACTAAATCAGAACTACCTAGATATTGAGTTCAGAATTTTACCAGCCAAAGGTCTTCAAAAAATTAGCATCTGTAAATGAGTCGTGGGGGATTTTGTTATTTGAAGTTTTGTCCAAATTTGCTATATGTTCTAATAGCAAGAATGAGGCAAAGGGAGCCATGCAGACATCCCACACAGATGTGCCCACATTCCACACGGAGTCTAAATACTTCCTTACCTATTTTAGTTGCACTGTAAATATTCTCAATGGGGAAAGCACCTCCCAAGCTGTAGAGCAGAACCTTCGCAAGTGCTGGGATCAGCTGTGTTGTTGTCACTAACACGTTCACGCAGTTACTCCTAAAGTAGGAATGAAATGCACATATTTGTTTTCTATTAGTAAATGATGTCCAATAATACAGATTTAAAATCGTCACTGTGGTCTCTAAGTTTCACAAGAAATACCTCCTTTCAACATTCAACAGTCATTGGCCTACTGACAGACAGACAGGCATTCATTCCCTCAATAATGGTCAATTATGAAGAATAATGCACATGCTGTGATTAGATTGAGACATTTAAAGCTCTTCATAACATTTCGTCAAAACAAAATGTTATTCAAAGTCATATGCAGATAAATGTCACAGAATGAAAATGTGGTGCAATAAAATAAAATATAGGCATTTTAAGTTTAGATATGTGGTTTTGAAGAGAAGTTTCACCATTTATACCATGTGATATTTGAGTTGTATCATTTGTTATTTAACAATAAAAACTGTACATATTTATATAAAATTTACAAATATATAAAATTTGTAAAAAACAAATGTAAAGAAGAAAATGAAGTGTCAATTATTAATTAGGCATCCAAAAATCACACTCTCTCTGTTTTGTGAATTTATTTTCAGTGCTTCTGACTGTGTATTGATTTTCTCCCACTAGGATTATACACTATCGGTGTTCCTTGTCCCATCTATAGTCTATCTATCTATCTATCTATCTATCTATCTATCTATCTATCTATCTATCTTTCTATCTATCTGTCTTTTTATATCTAGGCCTAGTATCTTGTATCATATAATCTATTAGTCTCCTCCCAATAAAACATAAGGTGTATAATAAACTCTTTGGCCAGCTTGATACACATCAGATTTTTTTTCTGAAGCTCAGTTTAGATGCTTGGATGGTTTTTGATTCCTCAATACTATAATAATGCTACCCAAATTTTTCCTTGGATATATCCTTAGTTAATATTCACAGAGCAGAGTTATAAGGCAAAACTTATAACTGCAGTTATTGCCAAAGGCTCTGATACATAATTCAACAAAGCAATTTTGTTTCTGACTTTTCAGGCATTTTGGTAAAGAACCAAACTACTATGGCAATATTATGGATAACTCAGCAGTAGTACTTAATTATTCAGTGTGTATTGACTTCTTTTTCTTCATTCTTTCCTTCTTATTCCTCTATTTATTTCTTAAATCATATATCACTGAGGTTGCTTTCAGGTCATCCATTTAAGGAGAATCTGCACATATTATAACAGGTGCAGTATAATATAATGTGCAATGTGTATGCATATCATGTAATAATCTTTTTTTTTAACTATCTGGGAGACATCTTATAGATATAATTAAGGGTTTTCCTCAGATAAATGCAGATTACACTCCATTTCAGGGGCTCAGGGGTCCTCATGTCCCAGTTTCAGTGGATGTTGGTCACCAGTTACAGAAATCAGGACACAGCAAGACCTATTTTCAAATAGTTATAATTGCTAGACAATTAATTCTCCCTTGCATAGAGCTAGAATCTCTCTTCCTAGGATTCCTGCTCATTCATCCTAATTCCTTCCTTATTGACACAGAGAAAAAAATCAAATTTACTTTTCAACCTAACATCTCAAACAGTTGAAATTGACAGTTTTGTTCCACACATGACTCTTCTTTGAACTAAACTCTCTGTTTCTTCCAACTATTTACACTATAGCCCTAATTCCCAAGAATACCACGCTGGACACAAGATGCTTCAGCACTGTCAGAGCTCCCATTAGAATGCGGTGCCCAGAACAGAGCACAATTCTCAGCTCTGGCTTCCCCAGTCAGACATGGGGCTATGCTGCAACCCCACCATTTAGGCCTTCTGTTATCAATGTAGTTCTAGATCGTATCACAGGGTCAGAAGCCACAAGTCAGATTTGGCACATACCCATTTATTTTCATGTCCTCAATACTGGACTCACCTTTCACTCTGCCAAGTTTTATGTGTCTCCATTCAATCAGTCCAAACAGGATCTCTTTCTCTGCATGCTATGTTACCCACACATTTGCTAAGCTTGCTTTTACTTATTCATCTAAGTCAGAAATAAAACTATGGGAACAGCAAAGTACAAAGACAAATGCCACCTAGCACCTTTCATTTTCCAGATTTATATTACTTTATGAGTAATTTACAGCACACAGTTATTCAGCAACATAAATCAATTTAATTTTATTATCAATACTGACAAGTCACTATTTTACTGTAGTGTTCAAACAACATAAAGGATATAATTTTTTCTTGCTTTTATGATCAATTTAAATTACATATATTATCTATTATGGCCTAAAGACCTAAAACACACATTCATTTATAAATATTAGTTTTATTTTTGTCAGCATCCCTTGTACTTTGCCACCAACAGAGTGCTGTCTCCTTTTGCCTTGCATGTCATGTGACTATTCTGTGAGAATTATCAGTAGTTATGATGAGAGATGGGTGGAAAGATGGGATCTGTTGGTTATTCTGAGAAACAGCCTTCCTCCTACCTAACACACACACACACACACACACACAGAGAGAGAGAGAGAGAAATCACTGGACTTTTGCTAAAGTACCTTCAAACCCCAGAACTGTCTAGAAATTAAAACATTTTTATCTATGTTGTACCATTAGACCTAAATCTTCCATATGACTGACATAGAAATGTAACAATCTCACTTACCTAGTACTAATGATTGATAAGGACTTAAGTGCGTTTGTTAGCCAGGAATCTGTTAGGCCTTCAATCTCTGCCCTTAACTGCAGCCATGCATCCCTCTTGGCAGGGCCAAGGAGTCCTGGAATACCAAAATGTAAGGCAGAGTCAGGAGCTGAATATTTTCTCAAGAACATCTAGCTTGGTGTCCCTTCTGTCTAGAAAAAATCATTTTTATTTCAATTTGTATTAGAAATTGAGAGAAATATAGACTTAAAATTGAACATTTCAGAACTGATGATTCACTTACTCCCTCAATGAATACTTTTGGACAACTTTTAGGAGTTGGGCACTGAGCTAGATATTGGGAACATAACAGCAGAAAAGTGGCCCTCAGCTTCTGCCCTCACTGAGCCTAGACTCCCGTTCAGGGGGCACCTAACACCCGAAGAGCTTTGCAACTCCTGGGTATGAGTCCCACCCAATAGGCCTGGAGGAGCACTGGGGCTCTAACCAGTCTAGGGACACAAACCTCAAATGTTTGGTTGCCTAAAAATGTTTAGGCTTTTAATAATCACAATCATTTCCACTTTGAAATAGTTAATAATGGAATTATCATATATGCCAAGCATGCGTGAGGTTCTTGATTTGATCCCCAACACAGAGAAAATAAATGATGCAGCTCGTATAAAACAAGATCATGTACTCAATTCACAGAAAGGTTTCTTACTTAAATCATATTTCAGAACACCTGGAGCACATACATAGATAAATGATTTTTTCTCAATTAAAATTTATATTTTCTAGAAAGTCTTATCTGTTATTTCAATAAGGAGATGCTAATGTATGACAGAAAGTAGACTCTCACATGGTTGCTTAAACTTTCTAGTATAGTAGGTATATCTTAGAAATCTTGTCAATTTTTAGATAATTTGAACAATACTCTGCAAGAAGGTCCTGCCATTGTTGTAATCCTAGCTACTTGGGAAGCCAAGAATGGGAGGATTGTCATTGAAGGTCAGCCCCAGCAGAAAGGAGGTGAGACCCCATTTCAACCAATAGCTGGGCGCAGTGGTGTGCACATGTCACCCAAGCTACACAGAAGGGGGATAGGGAGGTTCACAGCTCCAGGCCATCAGGGCAAAACAGTTTGTGAGACTCATCTCAAAGGAAAAAAGCTAGGTGAGGTAGCATACACCTGTCATCCCAAGGATGTTGGGAAGCCTAAAATAGGAGGGTCATGGTCCAGGCTGGGATGGGCAAAAAGCAAGACCCTATTTCCAAGAGAGCCAGAGGCATGGCTTAAGTGGTAAAGTATCTGCCCTGCAAGCACAAAGGTCTGAGTTCAAACCTCAATACTACCTTTAAAAAATTAAAAAGCTCCCTTCTGGTTCTAATGATCATATTGTCTCTGGTTCTACATTTCCTTTATTTTCTTACAGTATTGAATACCTATTGAGTATCTATTATGCACTTCCACGCTAGGCATATCTAAGGTGAGCAGACACAGCCCTACCCTCAGGATGTACATGAATGGGTGAGATGTGTCTACTTTAAAAGAAAACGTTATGTAATCTATCGTATTCTGACACATATGTGAAGTACACATGTATTTAGACACAGCATTCCCTTCTGAATTCTGGTTTATGCTCCTAAAAAAATCCTTCATTTGTTAAACACGAGAAACACACTGAAAGAAGAATCTTATACAACTGCATAACAAATCTTAAGAATCTTGTTGACCTAAAATTGATCTAAATAAGGAACGTCATCCATGTTTATTAAATCTAGAAGCACATCCAAGATTGTAGTTTTGGTATCAAAGGTTTGATATGGCCCCTCAAATCTATGGATGAGTATAAAATGGCTTAGATATTACCTATATTTAAACATTTCAAAACCATGATCATTGTAGTTAACATTATCTTGTATGTGGGAAAGATACATTGTCAGGCAACTTCCAAGTTTTTAAAAAGATTAAATAGATTTAGTATTGAACATCTTTGAATGACATAAATCACTGTTTATATTTATGCTGACTGGGTTACAGAGAGGTAGTGGTTGCCAATGACTGTGTCTTTAGAAAGGTCTTCTTTCCACTGCCTTTCTATGTTCTTTTCACGGTTTTCTCTGATAATGTCACAAGCACCTAGACTAAATGCCCCACTGTAAATCTTAACTGAACATCTGAGCAACAGTTTCACAACAAATGCCCAATTCCTTGACAGGAGTGCATGTTAATTTCTATAGTTCATTTTTTTCCCCTCAATAATTCTAAGAAACTAAAAATTCAGGCTCAATGCTATTCAGCCTGAGATTTCACTCATTTATTTCATAGTGGAATAATGTCTAACACAAATCTATAACTTGAATGCTGCCTACACCAAGGTGCTTTTATTAGAAGAAGTAAGCCATGCTTACCTCCAACATTGTTCTTGTAGGTGTTATATAATTCTTTCACTCTTCTGTAACGAAAAGCCAACTTCCTCATCCAGTCCACTCCTCCTCTTACACCTGTTGGCAAACAAAGGTTTGCACTACTTGCAGCTGCATGGAAGCCATCAGTTGCAAAACTGTAGGTACTGCAACACCCAAAATATATTAAAAAGAAATAAAAGAAATAATTACATGTGCAAAACTCCATAGCTGAATTTCTATAGGAAACTGCAGACTGAAAGGCATGGCTTACCTTAAGTCCTGCCCATTATCATCAGAGGACACATCATCTATGTGAACTTGATCGCACTCCTGTTAAAAACATAGCAAACATCATTCCTTTTTGAAATCATGTTTGCTACTATGTAAGGTTTTCCATTGTTTTGTGTGTTCAGACTATGGCCAGTAGATGGCAGCAATGGCCCATCCATCCCACCACCTCCTGCATGTTTGCTGATGTCTGGAATTGGCAACATTTGAAGGCTCAAAAATCCAAATTCAGAAAAGCATGACATAAAGGGATCCAAAAACAAGATGTGTGAGTTTCTGCAGAGTGGCTTAAAAGATAAGTTTAATTTTAAAATTATTGATAGGAAATTATCTTTTGAATCTTATAAGCATGTTTATTTTCTTTTAGCTCTTTCTGTTGTGCATACATAAACCATACTGCTCTGAAGATACACAAAACTAATGTAGCCTGAGCACCTGAAGTGGTTACTATTGTTTATTACTTGCTGAGCTGTCACAGAGGGACTTAACTTCAAATGATGGTGTCTTGTGAGAGTTCCATGCCTTCCTGCTTTTTTGCTGGACTGGGATATTATTTTAAAAGTCCTCATCTTTTGGCACAGAAAGAAAGGTAATAACTATAGAAGCTGACATTTTCCTTTTCCCAGGTTTTTAAATTAAAAAGAATGTCTAAAAGTAAAAGGAAAATAACAAAGCTTTACAATATCAAATGTGCTACAAACTCTAATGAAAATAAACTTGAGGTAAATGTTCGCACACAATTGACCTGATTATCAGTTAGAGTCTGCTCAGAATAGCAACTTCTGCATGAGGAATGGATTCTTCTCTGTTATTCTAACAGGCTTGTTCTGCCTTCAAATGATCTGCAAAGTTCCAGTGGATATTAAATTATCTGAAAGTGGAATTTGCCTACCTTGCCCTCAGAAGACTAAATCTATAATACAATAATAAAGTATGTCATAAATAAATAAGCAATTTATAGTGTTTACCATTCCAATTCATTTTGAAAAATCATTAAATTTGAAAATATGACCTAATAAAAAAAGGCTTTTCAGCCAATAGTCATACTCATTTCAGGACATGGAAGTGTCTTCAGTCAAACATTGAGTGCTTAGTCTCTGACTTTCAACACAGAGCATATCCACCCTGTTTCAGTTGACTGGAGCTTCCTTGAGAATATGAAACTCAGTGACAAGCCCAGTCAATACAATTTTGGGATGAAACTTAAAAATTCCATTAGGCTAATTTTAAAAGTTAATGAAGTTTACACAGATTGTGGGTTTGGCAATTTTTTAAAATAAATCTCTACCTATATTCATAGGTAGAGACCCAGAGAAGTTAATCCAACTAAGAAGGTCCAGGGAAGGAGTGATTCCAACAGACTTCACCAGGATATACCCCACCACTTAAGGTGTAATCTGGCAGAGATAATCAGTCAAGAATTCTTTCTTAAACAAAGGATTACCCTTTAAATTTTTGAAAGTTGCAGTGAAATAAAATAGTAGTATTCTAGATGATTAGCATCAGAAGATATTTATGTCACAAGTGGAAGGGAATACAAAAAGAGCAAAGTAGGAGCAAAGGCTGCCTGAGCTGTAACTGGACAGATATTTAGAAAGTTTCTTCCTCTATTTGTGCAAGAATTGATTGAAGTGAGTGCAGGCCAAGCTGTAACTAAAAGAGGCTTATGTTACCAGAAAAATCTCAAGTAAAAGTATTGTAAGCAACGGTATAAGCTGCTGGATGGGCTTTAACGGAAAGAAATTTTACCAGTTAGCATAAAAGTTGGAAGTAAACTTCTTCTTCCAGGTATTGAGGAACCAAAGCAGTTCTACATGACCAGAATTATTTCTTTTTCAGAGATGGGGATATTCTTGGAAAATATGTAGATTAAAATAAACCACTACCAAAATGGTATCACGTGAAGTTGCCCTCTCCACTGAAATTCTGAAATCTTTCCTGATGTAAATATTTCCACATCTTTCTTTTATAATAAACTAATCATATCCCCCAAAGGAGGAGGGAAGGTTTCTCAAGATTACTCTAGTAATCAGAAGTTATTTCTATAATTCCCTCTTATTTTAATTTTTAGAGAAATTCATTTGACATTTTGAGTATTAACTCACATGATTAATTTGTAACTAGATTGCCCAAAAATTTGTCTTTTACTCCTGAGGACAACAGTATATCAAACTTATTGGACCATGTACCTATATTTGAAGTTATATTTGAGGTTTTTCCAAATCTAACTTCTCTTTAAATTTATGCCTAGTTAACACTGGCTGTTGACTCTGGATAGTTGCCTGAGGATTACAGTCCAGTGAAAGAAACCTAACCTTCAATTACAGACATTTTTCAGGAAAAGCTAAATAATTGTTCTTCAATTAGTTTTTACTCTGAGGAACTATGCAAGAATCATTTTAACCCAAACCTGAAATACCTAAAAACATTAGAGTGCTTTGGTTTTAACACAATTTAGTGGAAGACCTCAAACATTTGAAATAATTCCGGTGTTAATCTTAAATGCTTTAATTTGGGCTTATAAAGTGACCACAGAGTTGTCACTGGTCTTTTTCAGTTATAATCCACAGCAGTCTTCTCTCACTTTTGTGATAGCAAAATCCCTGCTCCCTCTTTTGTGGAAGTTATTCTAACTGAAATAACATTTTATTTAAATAGCATTCTCATCTTAGGGGAGAAGCGAACATGTGCTTTCTCTGCAGTTGGGCAGGATGTAGTGAAGTATCTCTTAGGTGGATTTAAATTTGTGTCTTTAACGAATTGTGAGAGAAGCAGCTGCCACTGCGTATGTTCCACTGCATACACATTTGAGTCTCAGATTTGAGTTTTAGGTTTTAAAAAAGGATCTAGAGAGATTAAATATACAAGAAAAAGCATAATAAGCTAATGGTGTAGATACTCTCTTGAGGAATTCTCTTTGTCAACAGAAATAGCTGAATTCTAGTTTGGGAGCTATTGCCATCTATGGCTGCAAGAGGTTTCTTGGAATAAGTAATTGTATGAAAGTAAGGTTGACTTTAAAGTCAGATGAAGACATACAGCAGGTGTGCATGTAACTATACTATACGATCATAAAAGCAACTGTTTACATTTCATTATTTTAGTATTTGTTTATGTCACTTAGAAATAAACTTTGGAGTTTCCTTTGGGTCACCATCTGAATGTGCAAGTGTGTGCATATATGAGAGTTCAATAGTTTATATACAGACTCAATTAAATTATTGATCATGTACACTTCTGTTGAATAGTTCAGTTTTAGGGTTTAAATCAAATAGTTTTCATCACATTCTAAAACACAACAAAAAAGAAGAGAGTTAATACCAATATTTTCTCAGTTACTACTCCTGAAAGAGATCCTGCCAGATATTTGAAAAGTATATTTTATGTAATATTTAACCCAAAATAAAAAGTCTTAAATCACCATAGATAACCATGTTTTGGATGCACTAACATTTACTCCAAACTTGCTAAAGGTGTTTACAAACTTATCATGTGCTACTTTCAGCTTCTCAATTTAGAGTTCTGCTAAAAGTTGAATAGTAAATTTCTTTCATCTGGTTTCTAAATGTTCTGATTAAAAGGCTAAAAGTTCATTATTACATGTATTTCTGATAAAAATATTAAGCAAATGAGATGAACACTATAAAATTTGCATAAAACTGCATAAAGTTATTTCATTTTTTAGCTTTGAAAGGACTAATCATTTTAGAATCTCCTTTAGGATGAGATTCATCCCTGTTAACTACAGGAAAACAGGCTTGAATAGTTATCACTGTATTTAAAAAGTCAAGTTCTGAGAAAGGGCAAATGTGTTTTCTATTAGCAGGTTTAGGTAGAAGCATTCTGTGTACTGGATAGTAATGAACAGCAGGACAAACTTAAGTTACGTTTTAGAGAAGGAAATATTATTTCTAAAACTTGAAAACTTGGCTAAGAACACTGACCTTTCATATTGTCCGTTAAAGAAAAAAATCCTCTTTAAACAGTCATTTTATTTTATCATCCAATGAAAATAATGACTTTCTTCAGAAAAGAAGAACAACTTCCTTTGACACAATCAATTTTCAGTACACACGTTTATGGGTAACACTGAATCACACATTTTTGTCACGTCTCAAATGTAACTAATCTAGATTTAAGATCTTGTCAATTAAAAAAAAAACTTAAATCACTCACTAAAATTTGGCCTCTCTTTCTCACACACTTAATTTTAGCCTAGTATGGGAGCCAACCAAAGTGCGCTGGCATAGAATCTGCCTCAAAATTCCAGTTCCACTACTTAGCTAGCAGGGCATGACTTTTGTGCTTGTGGACCCTACAGTTTCTCCCCTACAAAAGAAATGTGATATATGTTTATTTCAAAACATAACCAATTAATTAATGGAAAGTCCAACATGAAGTGTCTAGAATACTGTGAGGATCAGTGATAATAATCTCCCTCACCACTTATAATGTGCTTATAAATACTTTTATTTCACTCTAAACCATGAGACAAAAATAAATTTAAGCATATTACTTAAAAACAAGAGAGAAATCTCATTTTCAGCACTGTTATTCTTGCATAAGAAGTTCTTCTGTTGTGCCCAAACCACTTGGTTATTTCAAATTCTACTGTCTGGATGCCTAACAACCCAGGTCAGTACATACATCTGATATTCCTCCTGGTACACATTTAGCTATTCTAAAGCTAGTTTTCATTGAGCCCTTTCATTTTATTGTTTTTACTTTCTCTTCCTCTTGTTTGCCATTTAGACACTGTAACGCCAATTGGAGTTGGAGAGGGAAAGAAATTTGAGAAAAGAGAAAACAAATGCATTCAAATATCAGATGCACCTTGTAAACAGCTTCAGCAGTATTCTACCAAGAGGGCAAGGAAATTCGGAATGATCGTGGTGTCCAAAGACAGAGTCTGGACTATCTACAAAGTTTAGTGATCCATGCATGTGAGTATCTGTGAACATTGTTTACTGATTAATCTAAGCAGTATCCTGGTTAGTAACCTGGAAAGGGTGACTCCAGAGATGCTGAAGAGGTAGTGACTCTAAGGAACCAAGCTCCAAATAAAAAGGGAGAATAAAGAATAATAAAAGCCAGGAGCAGTATGAGTAGGTTTCTGGTTATGGGACAGCAGAGCAGACTCTCACATAAGGCATTTTTATCCTCAATATGTGTCAGTACATTAATATATTATTCATGACCAGAGTTTTGCTTTCTGTTCATACTTGTATATACAACTTTTCCTCTTGATAAGAACTTTATAGTTCTCTTAAGCTAAGTTTTCAGTTTTCTCCAGGCTATCTGCACATATGAAACTACCTAAGATCTCTAGTGTTGGAAACAATTATTTTTACCTTTTTAACATTCTTACCTCTAAATCATTAAAAAACAAATGTGTATCAGCAAGGTTAAAGATCATTTCCTCCATTCGGAGTCCGAGAGTTACAGCCATGGGGGGATCCTGAAAAGAAAATGCGCAAATAATGAGGTCACATTTCAGTAACCACAATTATTATAAAAGTCTTTAAAGTGCACATTGTTTTGGGGGTGGGTGGAAGAGACTGCATGAATTTTACTGAAGATTCAAAAATTCTCTGAGGTGAAGGAGGAATAAAGAGAGGTTGGTGATTGTGTAAAAATATAGTTAGATAGGAAGACAAAATTCTAGTGCTCCATAAACTATATAGGAAGGTGACAAGTGTTAAAAGCAATTTATTGTAGACTTCAAAATGGCTAGAAGAATTTTGAATGTTCCCAATATAAAGAAATGATAAATGTTTTATATGATATATGCATTAATTACTGATTTGATAGTAAGATAATGTATACATGCATTGAAATATACACTGTACACCCAAAATATGTAAAATTGGCATGCAATTAAAGAAAATAAAAATTATGTGTGTGTAGGAAAAAGATCACCCAATTATCCAAAAAACGTACCTTTCCAAAGGTTGAACACATACAACATCTACAGATACATCTATGAATTTACAGGAATTTATGTATGTGTAGAATGACTCAAGATGCATTTTTACATAAAGCTGCCTGACAGTTCATATGCTTCATGGAAAGTTTTCTTGACAGAGTATGCAGATGGAGTACTAAAGAATGGGGTAAACTTGCTAGAAAGAGGAAAGGACTTCTGTTAACAGTGATGGCAATCAGAATTAGGAAATGAAGAAAACAGGCCAAGTGGATGTTTGCAGGTTGGGAGCAGAAAATATCAATCAAGGAGGGATAGGAAGAACCTGCAGAGGATACTGCAAAATGTTTGATTATGAACTGTAATTTACTCAACAGGTAATACGACATCTGTCTATGTACACAGTGTGGTTTAATCTGCCTTTCATTATCATTTGAAGGGGGAAAGGCAGAGGATAACAAACAGAATTCACTACATATAATCCAGGTAGAAAAGATATAGTACTTTAAGAAAAGTAAAGGAGCTCAGTGAAGAGTCAAAATGACTCCATTTTTTGTTTACAGAAACCAAAATCTTAAAACAGCAGCAAGGACTTGAGAATCAGGACCTGAGTTGCTGCTTTAGCATAATTAACCTTAGCTGAAGACCTGGAATCAGGATATGTAAGACTTTATACAGTAAGGAGAGTTCAGGGGTAGGAAAATAATTCATGCACAAAACTGTGTTGAAATTATCAATGCTGGAACAATATCTAAAAGGCAAACCGCTCTAAGGTGTGACTCTGGAAGTACAGAACGTAGAAAACCTGGAAGGGTAAGTCCTTAGAATTTGAGACCAGATGGGTGTCAGCAGGGAGAGGAATATGTTTTGGAATAAAAAGCTGACAAGTCTAGAAGGACACTATTGGTTTTGGCTGAGAAGTTATTTTGGAAGACCTCAGAGGGTGATTTGGGATGAGTGGCTGGGCCAGGAGCCAGACTGCAGGGATTTGAGAGGAGAGAACTGAAATTGTGTTTTCAACATCCTAATAAATGGCATTTCAAGAAATGTATTTAAACTTAGGGAAATGTAATGCTAACTTAACTTTAATTTATGATAAGAACACCCAACCCAGGTCAGGCCCAGAGATATTTATCTATATCTTTCCCCCCCACACTGTGAATTCCATTTGCAAGTAGAAGCCCCTTCTTATTCTACACCTACACTTTAGCAAACAACTTTCTTTCTATATTATAGTTCTTCCCTTAATGCTTTGGGGGAAACCTCAAGTGTAAACATTTGAAGTGTCCTCCTGTATTCTGTAGCCATTAAAACCTAGACAATAGGAATTCCATGCTAAGAAACAGGTATCAAGTGCTAACGGGTCATTAAGGTGTGTACAATGAGGCTGACCTGATGTGGGAGAACATGGAGATAAGCCAGGAATCATGTCAGAGTCCAACATGATTTTCTAATTATTCTATCTCCTTAGTAGATGCTGTTGTGTTTTTTTGTTTTTTGTAGTTATATTCTCACGTTAGCTACAAAATGAATATGGATTGCTCACACACCTGGATGGTCTCCTGGTACTGGGTCCTCTAGCTCACTGAACTCTACTGCCTTCGGTGATAGGACAATTTTGAGGCAACAAAACCAAAGATCAAACAAATTGCTTTGTTCAACAAATATTCATTCAAAAATAAAGAAAAACCATTAAATGTCCCTGCTTTGACTCAAGGAGTTTTAGAATTCAGGACTCTTTGCTCTGTTTACTTCAACTACAAAGGTCTTTGTTGTTGTTGCTGCTGTTCATGTTTTTCTTTTTGTTGTTGAAAGAAGTCTTTGAAGGCTCTAAATAAAATTTTTCTTAAATATACATTTTATCTTTTTTTTCTGTTAAAAATTTACAAAGTGCTAAATCACTTTCTTTTTGAGAAGGAAGAAAAGGGGCATCGAATAGGCCAAGGACATAGAAAACCTGTAAATATTCTGTCTAGTCATGGACCCATGAACAAAAGTCTACAGAAATATCAGGAAAAATCAAATGTAATTACAGCATGAAAACATATAATTCCATTAGTGACGCTTTCTGCTTTTGAGGAATGCTCACTAATGCAAGACAATAAGCCCGAGCCCCACACTACTCTGTTATGTTTCTGATGATTCTTGCCCTAAAGATATCTATTTCAGATGGGGTTGCAGACATATCTTCCTTTCAAAGTTTTCCTTCTGGAGACCAGGTTGGTTAAACCCTATCCCATGAATTGCCTTTTTTTATTTTTTCCTTTCTAAGTTTTCAATAAAATGACTGAATATCTCATGCTCATTCCTCACATTCCTTGCATTTACAGATCAGATTTATGGGATGGGAGAAAAACATACTGTTCCTCTTTGATTGTTTCTTTCATCGATTCCATGCTCCTGAACTACACAGCTCTCTAAGCTATCTAAACAGCGATAGGACAATCCATGAAGAATGCATTTTGTGCATCTGATAAGCATGCAAACAAATTTTTAAAAAATGCAAGACTCCTCTAGCAAGCAAGCATAGCGTATGGTATGATGAAAACTGTATTTGAGCACTCGATTGGAATGCAGCCCCACGGCACTGGGAGGGCTGTTCATTTGTTTTGCAAGCTGTGGTGACTGCACATCACACACCCTACGACAGCCAGGTCTTAGTAAGCATTTTGGCAAAATTACTTTTATTAACTGGGTAAGTTTAGGTTTGAAATTTGCCAGAGTGTGAACTAGTTGCATTTTACTAAGGTTTCCAGACAGCAAGCTTGTTGAAAGGGAGGTGTTTCGTCAGCCACGCTATCATGCCACAAGCCAAGGAAAACCATGCCTGTAAGAGGTGGTGGTCTTGTTTCTAAAAGAATGTCTGGGGAGAGCTTACTTAAAAAATCTCTAATTTTCCTTTTTGTTTTTTTACATCTTACTAAGTCACTGGGACAGCTAATTTTAAGTAAGCAGATTACAGTACTACATTTTTCCATCTGAAGGACCCGCAGACCTAAGAATCCAAGAAAGGTGACTGTGCATTTGGTGGGTGTGGCCACCCCCAGCCATGCCAAACTACAGTGAAGGAGCCCCAGTGCTGCACCTTGGCTATTTTATCAGCATTCAAGAGCGAAACACTTCAGGAGGGAGCTCAAGCTTTATACAGAGATGTTTGCTCATTTTCAATAGATGTTTATAGAATCATGGGCACCTCATGAATCGAGAATTATTGCTTTTTTCCATTTAACTGGAGTGAATTTGAGTTTAGGATCTAAAATGAAGTGATAGCAAAAGCTTGGAAGAAGAAAAAAGTGGGCTAATAAAGGCACGAGTAGGGTTTTGTGGAAGCTCTTGATACATGTTATCTACACATAATAGTTCCCAAAGTTTCCAAGTGTGTACTGCAGAGTTTAATATGAAGCAAACTGAACTTCTGCCAATTTATTCTGGGTACTGATTTATCAAAATACTGAAACTATTCTATTCCCAAGAAATTTTGCATTTTGTTGGAGGAGAGAGAGAGAGAAGGAGGAAGAGGGAGAGAGAGAGAGAGAGAGAAAGAGAAAGAGAGAGAGAGAAAGGGAGAGAGAAGATGAAGAAAATAAATAGCTCTTGGCCTTGAAATGTGTGATTCTAAGCCAGATGTTACCAGTGTACAACCAAGTCAGGATCAAGTACAGCACTTCTCTAAATCAAAATACTAACGCCTATTAGCCATGTTAGCACAGAGCATAAATTGGAGCCAGACTGTCTGTCTATGGGCCTCTGCCCTGTGTTGAACCATCAGCTGGAATTCCTCCTCTAGGGACACACTGTAAAAATATCTCAGGAGAGGCAGGAATTATATATTTTTAAAGAAATGGGGATTTTCTTTTTTTTTAAAAAAAGACCTCAAGGGACAGTTATTCCTTTGGGACCTGGTGCACATTTGTAGAGTTATGCACATAGAAACAGAAAGTGTAAGCTCATCACAGAGGAAGGAGGACGTAGAAGCTCTACAAACCCAGGCTAAAATCACTTCTGAACATTTTAGAATACATGAACTCCTTTAATCAGCTGTAAGAGATGAGATAACGTTAGCTCATGAACCAGAAGGCAAACATTGCAATTACAATTGAGATATTTTGGATTTCTTAAGATATTCGGTATATTGAATATTTTGAGATTTTAGGTATAGATAATGGGCTTAAGTGTTTTTAGTGGGAACTGGAGAATGGCTTTAGGAACATTCTTTGATCAATTATATGTTTATTGAATATCCAGTATGTGAAGACATGTTCAAATTTTGGACAGATAGCAGAAGAGAAGAGAGAGAGAGACAGAGAGAGAAAGAGAGAGAAGAGAGAGAGAGAGAGAAGAGAGAAAGAAGAAAGAAATAGAAGAAAAGAAAAGGAAGGATCTTGCCCTAATGGGTTTTATATTATTATTAGATGAGATATCTGATAAACAGATAAAACCCAAGAAAATATCAGCATTTCAGGCCATGAGGAAATAAACAATCAAAACAACCTGGATAGACAGAGGCAGAGACCCATGGGGATGAACGGTGATGG